GGGTTTTAGGGTTTTAGGGTTTAGCAAAAAGGGTTTGGGGCTTTCTCTTGGGGAGACGTGCTCGGACAAGCGAAGCCGACAGAGCAGGATCCTCACGGATCCTACAAATATATAATATATTAATATATATATATATATATATATATGTGTGTGTGTGTGTGTGTTTGTGTATGTATGTAAAAACCCAAATTATATGTATATATATATACACTTGTAAAAACCCACATATATAGATAGATAGATAGATGGATAGATAGATAGATAGATAGATAGATAGGGTTCCTTTAAAGGGTATATGGGGTTCCTTCAGCGGGGGTCTATACTTTTCAAGCTTCCTTGAAGGGTCCTTGTATTTAGGATCCTAGAAGGGTTCTAACACTCGTGGGTTTTCCCTAAACCCTGAACCCTAAACCTTAACCGTTTTGTGCTATCGAGATCCTCATCCTTATAGGGTTTTGAAGGAAATAAGGATGCTGCTATTCACGGCTCCAGGGGTCGTGGTAGTGGGGTTTTGGTTCCGATTTAGGACATGTGGGTCATAAGGATCTTACTCTCTGCGGCTTGTAGAAATATCAGCTCTCAGGATCCCCCAGAGATATAAGGTCTCAGGATCCCGAAATCGAGGGTGAATCGGGTAAGGTTTAGGGTTTAGGGTTTAGGGTTTAGGGTTTAGGATCCTAGTATTTGGGGCGTATAAGGATACTCCCATCTACGACCCAACCATAAGGCACCCTGAATAGGCTGCCAGGGTTCACTTTTAAGGTTTTGGCGAGGATCGCCGAATTAGCAGAAACTGCGAAGGCTGCTAAGGACCCAGGATCCTACAACCAAAACAAGCCCCGAACACAGGATCCTGGGTAACAGGACCCTTTTGGATTTAAAATCCTGCATCAGCTGGGGATCTGCAGCCGTCATGACTACTGCATGTCAGCAAGCCACATCAGCCAATCCACCCCTGTGTTGTTAAAGGTGCTGTTAAAATCAGAACCTCAGCCCAAATCAAAGCCACTTGGAACAGCACATCCACTAAAGTCACTAACGCCTAGACACTAATCCTGAGCCAGAAACCTTTTTTTTTGAACCTTAAACCCTAAACCCTAATTACTCCTGAACCAGGACACCTATCGGACACAGGACATGAAAGCTATTGGAGCCTCGGGGGTCCATTTAGGTATCCGGTATGACAGAAACCCCAGATGGGCAGTTCTCTAAATTAGGGTCCCTTTTTGAGGTCCCCAATATAGTACGGCACCCTTATAGCAAGGACCCTCATTTAGAGAACTACCAGACAGCAGGATTAGCACACAGGATACGAAAACCACCATAACACCGGCATGTAATCCTGATATACAAGCCGTTCGGGATTTCTGGCTTTTGGGAATCAACTTTCGGAGTTGATTTCCTGTGTTTCTTCTACAGCCTATCGGTCCTTTTGACGACTGCATAGACTTGCAAGGGTGTCGAGTTTCAGCTTCAGGGGGTGCAGAGCTCGGGGAAGGATCCCACCGACTCGAAAAGGACACGTGCAGGAGATTCTTGGCCATTGCAAATGCTTTCGTAGTGCCGGTGTGCAGCGATGCTCATGCTGAATTCCGATTTCCATAAAGTGCTACGAAGATCTACAGAGGACGAAAGAGACCGTGCCTAAAACCATTGTTTAGTACAGGCACCGGATAGCATGTTGAGCTTGGCAAGCTTCTTGGGATATCCGGATTGCTTCGGGAGGAATCTTCATCGATTCGTCGATCCGTTTGTCTGCATGCCTTCCCTCCTACTGGAAAGCGCTCAGGAAGACAGAGCGTTTGCGACGAGGGCGATAAGCTAAGACTACCTGGTGCATGACACCATAAAGTGTTAGCAGTGGTAGTAGTTACCTCTAAGTACACACTCAGTGTCTGAAGATCTGACCCCGATGTCCATGGCAACGTAGAAGCTCCGAAGAGAAACACTGATTCCTGTCACTGTGTTCACGCAGCTTCTTGCGATGTATAGTGTGCAGGCATGGAAAAACTGTTCGCACTTTGCACCCCTGAACATTGTGGAAACCGTCAAGCGACGGTGGTTCAGGTCTTGGTTCGGATTTGTTGACACTCATGCGCTAGCGCTGAACTGTAGAGGACTTGGTTTCGGATTAGGGTTCTCTGGAATGGGCCGGCAATCTGAGACAATGTGTGCCCCTAGCTAGCAGTATCGCAAGCTTCATCTTCCTGAAGGAACACGGTTCACAGCACTCCTTTTTCCTGAACCCACCACGTGACAAAAACCAAAATGAAGCAACCAGGGCTTCACCAAACGACTGGTGCTGTAAATGCGGTGCTTTCGAGTGTTTTGGGGAGTAACGCACTGTCTAATGCCCTGCTCTAGTTGATAGGTTGCTGCTTCGCTCTACATCAATAATACCGCCACAGCCATGCCGCTTAATTGGCATGGCATCTCTATCACCGATAATGGTAGAACTCTTGCAGCCCTTTTGCATCCAGGCCTCTTGCAGTCTTGTTGGGGAAGGGCGAGTGAAGCAGCACTCGTGGCTACAAACCGACATGGACAACTTTAGCAGCAGCACTATCTTTCGGCCCTTTTTGCTACTGGACTTGAGGACTAGCCAGACCTAAACCCTAGACCCTAGACCCTAAACCCCAGCGCCTAACAATCCGGATCGCGTATTCCCCCGAAGCGGTCGGATAGGATCGCTCCCTCACTCGGGGGGCTGGTCCGGCATGACCCAGAAAGGCTCATCTTCGATCTTAAGCCTGCGGGGAGCCGCTTGGTCGTGATGACTCGAAATGATTAGTGGTGCTTGGCCTCAGACACGGCATGATACGGCTTGGGGTCTGGACTTACCTTAACTTTCTACGTTAAAGTTAGGCATTGATCCAAACACCGAGCTGAGAGAGCTTTTTCCAGCAGTACTAACAAGGGGACTGGGAGTAGTTTAGCCAACATCAGGGCCTGGGAACACTTGCCAAGACAACAACATCGGCTGTTTGATCTATGCGACGTCCCAGAAGGAAGGGCTCATGCTGTCGGCATCTGGTTCGGGGTATGGCTTGGGCTCATGACGCTTACGACTGCTTGCAGGAAAGATGACAACAAATCCCTGAACCTCTAACTTGAAAACCTCTAGGCTACGAAATCCTAAGCTAAACCTAAACCCTAAACTTTAAAACCTCTAGCCTACGAAATCCTAAACCTAAACCCTAAACCCTAAACCCCCTCTAGCCTACGAAATCCTAAGCCTTCTACGCAGTCTTCTAGGCCCTACAAGGCCCTCAGCAAAGCCCAAAACCCAAAGAAGCCCTGAGCTCTTGGGGTGTCCCCCCAAAGGTTCATCCGAGCGTCGGGAAAAAGCCATTGAAGAATGCCTTCGGAAGTCAGGGTTTAGAGGTTTTTTTGCCTCCTACTTAGCAAGGAAGAGTTTAGGGGTTTAGGGTTTAGGGTTTAGGGGTTTAGGGTTTAGGGAAGTCAGGGGCTTGGGTTTTGAGTTTTAGGAGGCGAACGGCTCGAAGACTTTCGGATTCTCGCTTTGATGTTGGGATGTTGGTACCAAGGCAGTTGTACCAATTAGAGTAAGGCTGTTTGGAGAAGCATAGTATAGCTATATAGGGCCTATGATGAGGTATGTTTCCACCATCTGTTCACGACCCCAGCGTACATTCTTTCTGAATCCATCGGGGAAGGTTTAAGATAAAGGTTTCTGCAACTTGCACTCGTGCCCTTTCAAGGGGTCAAGCCGTGAAATATACTGAAGGCTTGCTCAACCCCGGACAACGACCCACTGAACGGCTGCCCCGCCCGCCCAGAAGCCCAATAGTCAAATCAACGGTCGCAAAAAACACCGGGAGGGATCGGTGCAAACCCTCCAGGGCTAGGGCCGTGCTCCGAAACCCCTCCCATACATCGGAACTCTTCCAGCGTCCCTCGGCTCCAAGACACGCCCGGTAACTGTGAGCAAAGCATGAAAACAAAAACACGGCTGTGCCGGGTGCCTTTTGTGTCTTGGCTTTGGTTTTACGGTCCGCAGCCGCTATCGTATTCATTGAAGGTTATGAAGACGGCTGTAAGCTTCTTGTAGTGTTTAAGCTTAAGTTCGGGGCTTGGGGTTATGCCTAACCTCCAACTTTGCCGTCAATGTCATGTAGGAGTCTCTGTTGCAGAACCCTAGTATGATGAAAGCCCAAAAGAAGGCATTCCCGAGCTACTGCGAACTGGGACACAGGGGCCCGCGATTCTTGAGTTGAGTGATCCTTCGCAACTTGCCAACCTTTTGGGAAAGCCTGCGCTTCTCAGCCTAAAGCAGCAACCCATCAGATGGCGCATTTTACACCGCTTTCGCAAGCACTCCCCAACGCCCAAACCCCAAGCCCGACAAGTACCTATAGTCTCCATTGTAGTTCCTTTTTGGGGATACCTTATAAAATCCTTAATCTATAGTTCGTTAGTAAACCAAAAAAAGGAACTACAATGGAGACTATAGGTAGACCCGACACCCGAAAGCCAGGGCCCTGGCGGTAAGAAAGCCTCGGCCAACAGTCGGGCTACTTAGGCTTCTCTGGGCTTCTACGGGCCTTTCCAGAAGGATAGCCTTCCAAGGGCCTGCTACATAGAAAGCCAGGCACCGTGAGCGGAACTTACTAGAACAACAACCCCATGAGAGATCATGTGACATTGGAGGATAGCACGGTTGGTGGGCTACAGAGGGGTCGAGGAGTCAAGGATTTGCAGAGCTCGGTGTAGGAATGATGCCCTGCGGAGACACTTAATGCGTACAGGCTTTGCTCACTAACAGCCGAGTCCGAAGTGCGCGAATGTCAACACATGCAACATGCGCCCGACAGCACAGACAGCGACGTTGCTGTTCATATACTCTGTAGCTACACTTGTGATCTCGATGATGCCTTCTCTCTGTCTCTGTTCCTCTATGCTCCTTTCTCCGACCGACTGAAAAAATTCAGATGTGGACAGTGGCAAAAAGGTGCAGATATCACGTCAGTATGTATGACTTCCTGACTTGTTGTTGTGCTAATCTCTCTCCCTCGCTCCCTCTTGCACAGATTCTCGCCTGGCGGGATGCATATACTTCGTGCAAGTCGCGCGCGTGCCAGTGATGATGGAAGGCACGGTAGCAAAACACACGCAATCATACCTATCTTGTTTTTTGTGTGGCAGAAGCCAAAGTTTCAGGAACAACTACCAGAACAACCTGTGTACCAGCCGGCACAACTCAATCTCACGCGTCCTGCCAATGCTAGAAATCACCTTCATCATAGGGATACATACAGCTACTACAACGTGACTTCTACCAACAAGGTCGTGTGACCTGAATGCTCGGTAGTGGTGAGGGCCTGAACACGCAACGAGACTGTTTTGAGCTGAGCAACTGAAACGGGTGCTTTGTGGATAGTGCATGTCCTTGGAAACCATACCACCATCTGGACCACGGACGCAGTTCCTCCAGTAGTACCTGGCCAGGGCATTCCAGCTAGACGGCCCTAGTGCTCATGCTAATCTTCTAGCCCCAACATGATACTAGCCGCCCTTGCAAGCCTAAGCTTTTGAAGCGGCTGCCAGTGACATAATCATCGTTCCCTCTGAAAGTCCAAAAAATTGCACCGGCAAGGAGCAGATCACAGTTCCCACAAAAGGCAAATGTGGAACGAGTTTCAAGCAAGAAAAATCGAATCTGAACAACAACAAGGACAACAGAAGCAGCAGCAGCAGCAGCAGCAGCAGCAACAACCACAACCTGCACCACAACCACTACAGTAACAGCCGCAACAGCAACAGCGGCAGCAACAGCAAGGGCAACGGCAAGAGCAACAGAAACAGCTGCAACAAGAACAAGAACAAGAACAAGAACAAGAACAAGAACAAGAACAACAAGAACAACAAGAACAACAAGAACAACAACAACAACAACCACAACAAACAACAA